TAATTTCACGTAGGACATTCTCACTTAACACATTTGAACATAGAAAAATTCATGTAGTTCACATTTTCACTTATCATTTATGTTCCGTAGAACATATCCACTTAGCATATATTCAAATAACATTTCACGTAGATCATTATCATATAGCATTATCCAATTTTATTATTTATTCACATTCAAACATTTACTCATAGTATTTTGTTTCACATAACATTATTCATTATTTTCATTTAATCACATACATCATACTTTCATAGTGATTTACATAATTATTTCATATTATATATCATTATTCAACTTATTCATTTACTTGTATAAATTATACTCAAATAGAAAATCTTCACATATCATCATATCATTTTATTTTGCTCAAAACATTTTGAGGTTGGTTCATCGTCAGCCTTCCTCCAATCATCAATAAATTAATTAAATAACACTCACCTTTTCCTCAATTAAGCCCTAAGCAACACCTATTTCACTTTAGCTTACTAATTCTGCATCTCCCTTCATTCAACACTTGTGTCCAAACAAATCTACACATTAATATGACCCATGAATGTCCGAGCTCAATTACATCTACCCAATAATCTTTACTTAAATGAAATCAAACACTTAATTTAACATTTCAAACTAATTAATATCGATACTCTGCTTACAGTACCGATACTTCTCTTCTATTGTACCTATACCCACTTCAGTACTGATACCATTTTAGCATTATGGAAATCCCATTCAACTACAGTATCGATACTGTCCTCTTGGTATCGATATATCCACATCGGTACCGATACTAATTCAATTAGTATGATATTGTTCTTTGGTTCATATTAAACTCTTTAAATTTAACATTATAGTATCGGTACTGTTCTTACATTAGCGATACCCTTACCAAGAATTCTTCTAGTTTATTTCAAAAAATTACCCATCTTTACTTAAATCTTCTACTTTATACCCCATTCATGCCTTTAAACATACATACACTTACCCCAACTAACTTATATACAATAATCCCCTTTAGATATCCAAATTTATCCATATAACTCTTGAGACTAAAAATCATATCACTTAAACCCTTGACAAGTTAATTGAGCTGAATGATGACCAAGAGTCGCTAAGCATGTGAGGCAAGCACGAGAAGATGTGTTAATGCAGTTCTGCAGTTCTAGTGCAATTCTGAAATCCACGAGAAAAATGAAGACATGATAGGTCGAATATGTAACACCCCCAACCCGTATCTAACTCGAATACACATCCGAGGTTTCACATTAACTTTTCAAACTCTTTAACTCTTTCTAAAATATTATTAAAACATGACAAGGAAAACAAAATTTAATAAATCATAGATAAAATACATATAAGAGCATATATACTTTATAATTATGGTACATGCCAACATTATTCCAGTGAATCATATCATATACAATTCACCTTTCTCTGATATGAAAATCTGCAAAGATATGTTATCCTGTCCTTGGTTACTATGCTTACTCCTGAACCTACGTGTGAAAGCACTCACACACTAAGTCATTGACTTAGAGAGGCATCATGAGTAACATAAAACAATAAAACATTTATATAATTTATAAAAGAAATGTTAACTTACAAAACACCACTAGTATTGTAACTTATAACATATCTTATTAAACACTGATAAATTTATACTCATTTTACTTTTAATTATACATTTCATAACACTAACAATATAGACTTTTAGACTATGTACACCTTCATAATCTTTTTTAGTTTCATATAAACTACATATAACTTATACACTTTTCATTTTATATCCATTTGTTTAATTGACCCAACGTATGATACTGATAACTCTAGGTATTTGAGTACACTGAGGTTGTGCACTAATGCTGTCACCATAGCTCGTAATTTGCATCGAAGTGCCACATAATTGTACCGAAGGACCACATAGGTTTGTCATAAAGGACTACATAATTTTGTCCCGAAGGATCACATAATTTTGTCCCGAAGGACCACATAATTTTGTCCCGAAAGACCACATAGAACCCTCAACTCTTGACATGCCAACTATACCTCTAATCCTCATACATATACCTTGGGTTTTTAACCACATAATTATTTTACATTTCACTATTTAAAGTGTCTTATTTCCATGGAGTACATTCTCGTAGTCTAATTTCACGTAGGACATTCACACTTAACACATTTGAACATAGAACAGTTCATGTAGATCACATTTTCACTTATCATTTATGTTCAGTAAAACATATCCACTTAGCACATATTCAAATAACATTTCACTAGATCTTTATCATATAGCATTATCCAATTTTATTATTTATTCACATTCAAACATTTACTCATAGTATTTTATTTCACATAACATTATTCATTATTTTCATTTAATCACATATATCATACATTCATAGTGATTTACATAATTATTTCATATTACAAATCGTTATTTAACTTACTCATTTACTTGTATAAAACATACTCAAATAGAAAATCTTCACATATCATCATATCATTTCATTTTGTTCAAAATATTTTAAGCCTGGCTCATCGCAAGCCTTCCTCTAATCATCAATAAATTAATTAAATAGTACTCACCTTTGCCTCAATTAAGCCCTAAGCAACACCTCTTTCACTCTAGCTTACTAACTCTGCATTTCCCTTTGTTCAACACTTGTGTCCAAACAAATCTACACATTAATATGACCCATGAATGTCCGAGCTCAATTACACCTACCCAATAATCTTTACTTAAACGAAATCAAACACTTAATTTAACATTTCAAACTAATTAATATCGATACTCTGCCTACAGTACTGATACTTGTCTTCTATGGTACCCATACCCACTTCAGTACTGATACCATTTTAGCATTCTGGAAATCCCCTTTCAACTATAGTATCGATACTGTCCTCTTGGTATCGATACATCCACATCGGTACCGATACTAATTCAATTAGTATAATATTGTTCTTTGGTTCATATTAAACTCTTTACATTTAACATCATAGTATCGGTACTGTTCTTACATTACCGATACCCTTACCAAGAATTCTTCTGGTTTATTTCAAAAATTTACCCATCTTTACTTAAATCTTCTACTTTATACCCCATTCATGCCTTTAAACTTACGTACACTTACCCCAACTAACTTATATACAATAATCCCCTTTAGATATCCAAATTTATCCATATAACTCTTGAGACTAAAAATCATATCACTTCTTTAAACATGTTCTTAATCCTTTTTTTATACTCTTAATCCCTTAATTAAACCCTTGACAAGTCAAATATTCCTTTAGAATTCAAATATTCATCATTTCCTAACATTTCCCTCAAAAACCCATTTTATTAATTCACCAATAACTCCTCATTCCTCTAGCTTCTAATTATCTTTAATCTTCCTTAAGTTTCTTTACCATCCAATTATTAAACCCCAAATCAAAAATGAAAAAAACCAGTTTGAAATGTAACTCACCTTAATATAGAGTTCCACGGGGAAGAGAAAAAGAAGAGAAAAGAAAGCTTCCAGACTTTTCCTTTCTTTTTTTCTTTCTTTCTTTTTTTCTTTCTTTCTTATCCCACTTATAAAGCCTTAGGAAAAATATTTTTAAATTCCTTTATGCTAAAAGACCATTATACCCTTCCATTTTTTTATCTTTGAAAAAAAGTCCTAGGCAAAAATTCTCAAACCATTCCTTTAACTTTTCAATTTATCAAAGATTAAACCACTAAATTTTCACACTTTACACTTTATTCACTGACCCATATTTGAGATGTTACAGAATTCATTCCAGGTATAACAAAGATCGTGGGAGTAGATCGAGTCAAAAGATTCCAAAATTAAAGAAAACATTAAATGTGGAGTATCGAAAATGCACAAATCATCATAGAAGGATACAAAAATGAGGAAGTTCCAGATAGTCTCTTACGATGGAGTATTTCTGTGGTGAATAAACCCAACAAAAATGAAACTGTCATCCAAGAGTTCATGGGGTAAGTCCACAAGACCACTAATTATCTGTATGGTTTAACGAGAGACTCTGGGGTAGTAAGATATAACATCCAGCCAATGACCAGTGAAGCATGAAGACTTGTCAACCTACTAGCAGCTGCCTAGAGTTTAGAGGATCTAGCTCAAGTGTACCTTTAAATGTTTTTGGTCTCATTGTAATTCCACTTTTTCCCCAATGAAGGTTATTCATTATGACACGCACTTTTGGGATCAACACCTCGTCTTTTGCATCTGGCATATTTCCCTTCTTATTTATGAATCACATTAGTTATTTTATATGTATTTATCACAAATTTCATGGGTCCCATGAATGAGACAATATCACGCATTAATAAAATAGAAAAGCTTCAAGAATATCTGGCCAGACCTCAGTAAGAAATGAATGTTCAATTGAAGAGGTTTCAAGATGAATCGATGGGGAAAATCTCTAAGATAACAAGCGTGATGGCTACGCAGGCCGAAGAAAATATTATGGTAAAAGAAGAGAAGAATTTGGGGCTAGTTTATGAGAAATTGTTAAATTCTCAAAATATTGGTGAATAACAAAACATTTCAGGGAAAAGATCGACATCAATCCTAGAGGATACTGTGGGGATAATGGAAGACAATATCATGACGCACTCGAAGAAAGGAACCATCGAAGAAGTTAAAGTATTAACTAAGAGGGTTAAGATAAAGAAGAAGAAGAAGATGTAAATGATTCCAATCCCAAGGTCATATTATGAGTTGCTGCCCCATTTCATTCAGAATCACCTTCTAACGCCAATCATGTTAATGCCTAATAGTTACTTATGGCCAAACAAGCAGGGTATAAAAAAACTTTTCTGCAAATACCATGCCAATATTCAAGGACACTCCATCGAGAGATATGTCAACTTTAAGCATCAACTCCAAAACCTCTTGGATCATATAGTTATAGAATTTGAGGCTAAGGGTCATCTCATCACGACTCATGAGTTGAAGATAAATCGTGTGGAGGGCCATATTCTAAATAGTATGAAAGAGACAAATGATAGAAAAGTGACTCTTTCACCAGGGCCCCTTACAGAAGTTGTCTTGGGAAGACACGACCCTCGAGATATTTCAAGTGCCTATCTCAGAATTACTTTTTTGACCATTCTTTCTGCCTATGGTTATGATCTAAACAGAACATGGGATTTTCACATAGGGGCATATGGTCACCCTACTGGAAAATACATGCCACTCATGGAGGAAATCGAGAAACTCGTTGCTAGCAGAGTGATAACTAATCAATTGATCGATAAATGGGGTGCAAATTGAATGGGGCATCCTAGGACTAGACAAGAAAAAAATCATGGAGTTATGTTTAATATGTCTTATTTGAATTTGTTTTTCATATATGTCTGAATTTTTTTTACCATTAAATAAATAACATTTCTTTGAGAATGAAACATTTTTTGAAATTCAGTGAATATCAAATATAATGAAATGTACATTTGAATCCAGGTTATAGCCTTTTGATATGTGACGAGATCAAATTCCTTTAAAAAAACATGATCCATGTCTTTTACCCAAAAAAACAAACAAAGCATTTTCTCTCACATACATAATAAAGCCGACAAACACTTAGGTAAGTATGAAAGCAAACAAAAATAGGGCGTCTTTGATTCATGACAATGCAAGATTGGTTAGATTGTATATATGTTGAGGATATTCAGTGACGGTCCCACAATCTTTACTAATGAAATTGTGAAATAAACAAATTTGGCTTGGACCAGTTGCTTGGAAATTGAGCTCTAAGGATGAAATTTCCTAACTTTCACTGACACTTAGACTATAACAGATTCTTCTTGACGAGCTTATAAAATCTTTAAATCGAAAACTCAAGTATTACTGTGATAATTTTAACAATATCGGAGGCACTATGATGAAAGTAGTAGGCTATTAATCTTTGGAGGTAATGTCTGAAGCAACTATGAAGGTAATGTTTGAGCTTTATGAAGTGAGTTTCGTTCGAGTTTTTCAAGTAGAAGACTTTATGACACTTGAATCCTTTAATTAAGGGTATTACGCTGAAGTAATGGGACATGTTAATTGCCCTAACTTTATGAATACAAGTACATTCATATCATGACACTAGTCTCTATGTGTCGAGATAAATCTCCCATTAAAATCTAAAGCGAGTACATCAAAATTAACAAAGTATAATTTAAAGAATTACGGTAAAGCCTGAGATAAATATGGAATTGAAATTAAATTTCGACGAAAGGTGGACTAAGGGAGTAAGGAATCATCTGCTATAGTTGACTACATAAAAACACTCAGGGGTTTTATTTTTAGATCGATATTTTTGTGCTATCTTTTCGTAAGGAGTCTACAAACTTAAACAAATGGAAGATTTTTGAGGAACTGAAATAGAAATGTTCTCTAACGAGCCTTGCAGTGGAGTGCATCAGTTACACCATTTTGTTCACGTCCTTTTTGAAAATCATGAAAATCAAAACCAAATTACATTGCCTTATCAGATCACCCACGGATCTTGCACTTGTCAAAGGGCTATAATTTTTGAAATCAACTTGTGTGATTCATTTATTTGATATTCAGTGAATTGATCCTTTTGTTTGAATTGCTCTGACATCATATTTACATCAAACCTTTTAAAAATTAGAGATCTTTTAGAAAAACATATTTTCTCAAAAATTCAGTTGAAGAACCTGAAACAGTGTGGGACATCTCCATAATTCCAATCTATTCCCCTTCCACCACATGTGCCTCCTGATGTTGTTCCTATCAATGCAGAGCCTGATGCTGTGAAGAAGAATGTTACATTATAATCTATGTCCAAATGTGTTACTGATCAAAGGGACAAAATATAACTATTCTAACTAATCATTTCAAACTAAATATGGGTTGTATGAATGGTTACTTCTTCCATTACAATATCTCTCTTTACTATAAATATGGTTGCTCGAGAAGGTGCAAGAGACCTACAACAATGAGTTGGCGGGAAAGAATTTCACCTATGATGGTGAGAAAAGTTTAGTCATTATCAGATCCCTTTCGAATAACAAGAATGATCCAACTGTTGTACTTAAGGATGATATATCTAAGAGAAACAATAGGAATGCAAGCCCTGATGGTAATGATAACCCAAATAAGCATGAAAGGAAGAGAGCAAGATGCTCTTATGAGTCAAATGTGTTTAAAGTGGAGATAAGCTTTGTTGTTAAGATTCCCATGCAAGAAATTCAAAGTACTCCGTGAGGACAGGAATTTGAGAACACAAGAAACACTAAGGGTTCTTGATATAATTTTAAGGCACCATGCCTTCTTTTTCGCTAGTCTTTCTTCCATGACAATCAAAATAATTTCACAAGCATTTGAGGAGGTAGCCTTGGTTGTAGAGGTTATCATTTGATATTTCGAGCTATATAAGAAAGCCTTTCACCGAATATTAATGTGTCAACTACGATGATGACTCAACCATTTTTGGTAGTTGATCATCAATCAAAATACAAGAGAACCTTTCTTCATCGAGTAAACCTAGGTCAAATGAGCACTTATGAATCTCATGATTAAAGTTTATCCATATAATCAAGAGTACAAGATCATTGGATTGAGTGAGAAAATGCGTAAAGATCAGATATTTTTCATAAAGTCGTCCGTTCTAGGGCATGATTGATTCCAAGGACAAGGCTATCTAACAAAGAAAGAGATTTCATCCAATAGAAAAAAACAAGAAACAAAACATTTTGTGTACATCTTAGATATACTTAAGATCATCACATTCATCATTCCATGCATTCATAAATTTGCAGATTTTGAGCAAGATTTATACTTCACGATGAAGGATATCAAACTCGACGTTTCACTCGACTTAGAACTGTTAAGGGGAGCCATCATTCACTTGAAGGAATTGTAACACCCATTTCATGTATACGTTCCCGTACACAAGTCATAGATGTCACATGACTTTTAAAACATTTCCATTTTTGAAAACCAGTAAAATTTTGTTTTTATACATAAAACATTTTAATGTAATAATAATAAAACGTTCATTAACTTTTACTATGTAAAATATTTTGGATGTTCTAACATATCAAATATTACAATCATCATAAGTCAAATACATTCCAGAGCATTATCATAAGTCTATTACATGCCATTTAATAATATCAAAAGTAGACATAATTGTCATACAGTTACTGATGAGGCAACCTTTAATTTACGATGTCATTTGCACTCCTTACCCCGCTCGTACTAATACCTACGCGTGAAACCAACACACGCTAAGTATTCACTTAGTTAGGCATAATAATTTAAATGAGGTGTAACCAAAACATAAGTATATCATAAAATATCAAAATACAAATTAAATCGTATAAATCATAATAATATTTAAATGTGACTTGGTAAACCAAGTTTCTTTAACATAACTTGCGAAACAATATTTAGTATGCCCAATATACCTATAAATCAGTATTTTCCAAATTATCCTTTTTATTTGCCCAATGTATGTTGAATGAGAATGCAAGGTACATGATTTGCACCTAAGTGTCGAAAGGGTAATTCACAAACTCATTATAAATTCCATGGATGTATACATAGTGTCGGATTGGTAATTCCTAAATGTACCTATGACTCTCAATGCAAATACAATAGGCCTTTAAGTCAAATTTGCATATTAAATATTTAATTTGAAACATTGATTGTTGTTAAAACAATATAAAAGTTCATCCATCTATTTAGAGCAGTTCATACTCTAAAATTATTCGTAAAAATCATTTTCATAAACTTTATGAAAATATTTGAAGATACGATAAAACATACTTTTATCAAAACATTCGAGGTTGACTCATAGCAAGTCATCCTCATCTCATATAAGTATATAATAATGCACTCACCTAGTATGCCTCAATATTATGCCTTAATTGTAGACCGGCTATTATGCGACTTTATCCTTGCCTTTTTTATTGCTTGTCTCGGGAATTTGATTATGATCTACACAAGCATCCATAATCACACATACAATACAAATGTTAGTATACTTTATAACATTTATACAAAATAATAATACTCAAAAGTAGTATTATTTTCGAACTCTATCAAGATTCATCCTAACTTAAAATTTCAGACTCTACAGTATCGATATTTCTCTTCTATGGTACCAATACCCACTTCAGTATCGATACCATTTTTGCATTCTGGAATCCATTTTTCCATTACATTATCAATACCTCCATATCAATATCGATACTACTTTAATCAATATCGATATTGTTCATCGTGTTCATCCTCTTTCCTCCAATTTAACCTTATAGTATCGGTACTGTTCTTCAAGTACCGATACCGTAACCCATATTTTACTTATTTTACTTCAATTTTTACCCAAATTTCCCCTAAATCTCATACTCTTATCTCAAGCCATGCCATCAAATTCATTATCACTTATCCCAACTAACTTATATTCATAAATCTCCTTATAACATCCAAAATCGCCAAAAACAATTAAAACTAAAAATCACATACAAAATTCAAACATGTTTTGAAACACTTCTAAGGCTTCAAATCTCTTGTTTACTTCTTTGACAAGTCAAAAAATGCTCTTAAAATCCCATAACTGACCAAATTTCATCAAATTACTTAAAAACCCATTTTATTAAATCACTAATAAATCATTAATCTCTTAGTTTTATTCACTCTTAAGCTTTCCTTAAGCCTCTATATCACTTAAGGCTTCAAAACCAACCTAAAAACGAAAAGAAAACCCAACTTGAAGAAATCTTACCTTTGCTTTGGAGATACGGGGATGAGAAGAAGAAGAAGAGTAGAGAACCAAAGTTTTCATTTTTCTCATATTCATCCCTTAATAAATATCCTTAGAATAATGAATATTAAGTTTATTTCCTTCTAAAAGACCATAATGCCCCCATTCTTCCATCTTACTAATAAGTCTTAAACACAATTTCCTAAATCAATCCTTGTATTTTTCATTTTATTCAAATTAACCCACCAAATTTAAAATCCTTTCATTATAGTTATTAACTCGATGTTTGGGGTATTACAATTCTCCCCCTTAAGAAAATTCATCCTCAAATTTTAAGATGTACCTGATGTGAAAAGGTGTGGAAACTGCTTCCTCATGTCCTCATCTCTTTCCCAAGTAGCTTCCTCGACTTTATGATTTTGCCAAAGCACTTTAACTAGATGATTTTTTTTGTTACTCAGTTCTTTGTATTCTCGAGCCAAGATCTGCACCGGTTCTTTTTCGTAATTCAAAGCTGGTCGGATCTCTATTTTCTCTGGTGCAATAATATGCGAAAGTTCTGATCGGCACTTCTTGAGCATCGACATGTCAAAAACATTATGGATATTGTCCATATCATGAGGCAAATCTAATTGATATGCTACTGGTCCGACCCTTTTTAAAATCTCATAAGGTTAAATAAATCTTGGACTCAACTTTTCTTTATGCCCAAACCGCAATACTTTCTTCCAAGGCGATACTTTCATAAATACCTTATCTCCTACTTGATATTCAATCTCTTTTCTCTTTAGATCAGCATAAGACTCCTGTTTATCGGAAGCTATCTTAAGATTATCTTGGATAACTTTCACTTTATCTTCCATTTCTTTCATTAAATCAGGGTCAACTAGATCTTGATCTTTTAGCTCAAAGTAATTTCATGGTGTTCGACACTTCCTCCCATACAAAGCTTCATAAGGAGCCATCTTAATACTCAATTGGCAACTGTTATTATAAGCAAATTCTGCTAAAGGCAAATATCTTTCCCATGATTTTTTAAATACAATCACGCATTCTCTTAGCATATCCTCCAATATATGAATAGTTCACTCCGACTGACCATCAATTTGCGGATGAAAAGTCATGCAGAAATTCAATCGAGTACCCAATGCCTCGTACAAAGACTTTCAAAATCTTAAAGTAAACCTTGGATCTCGGTCGGATACTATCGAGCAGGTACTCCATGCAACCAAACTATCTCTTTTATATATAACTCTACATATTTATCCATTGAGAAATCTATCCGAACTGGAATAAAGTGAGTTGTCTTGGTCAATCTGTCCACAATTACCCATATTGAGTCCTTTTTACTGGGTGTCAAAGGTAGCCCTGAAATAAAATACATAGTAATTCATTCCCACTTCCACTCAGGAATGAATATCAATTGTAACAATCTGAAAGACACTTGATGTTCAGCTTTCACTTGCTGACATGACAAACATTTTGCAACAAACTCTGATATAGCTCTATTCATGCCTGGCCACCAATAACGACTCTTTATATCCCGATACATCTTATTTCTGTCTAGATGCATACTCAAAGGACTATAATGTTCCTCAAAGAGAATATATTTCCTTGGTTATTCATTATATGGGATACAAAGTCTTCCACGATAATATAAACATCCATCAGTCCTGATTTTCAAGTCTTTGGTCTCACCTATTTCTTGCCAAACACTTTCATCTTTTCCTTGCAGCTCTTTTATCCGATCCAACAACATCGGCTTTAAGTTAATCTCAGCAATCAAGGCGCCATATTCCTTTAATGATATACATGTATCAAAAGCTCGTAAAGTTGCAAAAGTCTTTTGGCTAAGTGCGCCACATTAACCTTCCCTGAATGATAATCGATGATCACATCATAATCTTTAAAAAGCTCGATCCATCTTCTCTACCTCAAGTTTAGTTCTTTTAGAGTCAACAAGTACTTTAGAATTTTGTGATCTGTATAAATATAACACCTCTCACCGTACAGATAATGACGTCAAATCTTCAAAGAAAACATGACCGCTGCCAATTCTAAGTCATGTGTCGGGTAATTTCTCTCTTGATTTTTCAACTGTCTCTAGGCACATGCCACCACTTTCCCTCCTTGCATAAGTACACATTTCAATCCATTATGAGATGCGTCACTAAAAACTACATAGTCTTTACCCGACTCAGGTTCTACAAGCACTGGTGCCTCTGTTAAAATCCGCTTTAACATTTCAAAATTCTTTTGGAATTTTTTCGTCCAAACAGAAGGTACATCTTTCCGTAACAATTTAGTTAATGGTGAAGCTAACATTGAATATTTCTTCACGAATCTTCAATAATAACCAGAAAACCCCAAGAAACTCTGAACTTCAGAAACATTTTTTGGGGGTTTTCAGTCTAATATAGCTTGAATATTTTTAGGATCTACTCTTATGCCTTCTGCAGAGACTATATGGCCAAGGAAAGCAATCTATGCTAACCAG